GCATTTAAAAATACTATTTGCCGTAGTCTTTTATCTTATTTTGTCAGGCATTAGTAAGTATCAGAGACTTTTTCTTAATAATAGGGATATATATATATATATATATATATATATACATACATGTGAAAAAAGTTGCATACACATGGATTCGAAACAGGAACTTTCTGCTGTCTCGCTCTAACCAACAGCTCCTTTTTTGCACGTGTGTTCGTGTAGTACAATATCTCGATGCAATAAAATATCACGACATATAGTGTTTATCTCTTTCCACCCTGCGTGTGTTTGTACTCCATGTGATGAAACAAATGGATGGTCTTTAAAGTGGATTTTCGGCCTCTGCGTCATCATTTTGTGGTGGTCAAAATATATTGTTCGTTCACAGTTATAATGAATTATGGCCGTAACGCATGGTCGAAGGAATGCGAACTTGACCGAAAAAGCGGTATTTCAAACGTGGTGTACATTGGTCAATTAGAGTTGTTTAACCCGTAAGCATATAATATTAATCGCCAATCATTGGCTTGGAAGTTTAACGACAAACCATAAAAGGGCCGGCTGTCGGAGAAACCCCAGCTCATCGGTGACCCCCATGATCCGGTCACAAGTAATGTGCAGCAGGCCTACAGTGATTATTTACACGAATATAAAAGGTCACTATCACACGTGTCAATATCCATAAATATCGTTCGTCTAAATCATGTTCAACCAACGTTTGTCAGCTGGTCAACATTCGAAAACCGAGTGTCCTACAGTATTATGGTTCATAATATGGTCCGAATGCATAGGCATATCTTATAATAAAAATAATATGTAGCCTAGGCCTATGCCGTCTAATTCAAACACGATTCAATTACGGTAACGTACGCAACGTACAAGCCTTTCAAAATATGGTATACGGCTGCATGGTCCCAGTGTAGTACCTGTCTCTTATACACATCTAGATGTGTATAAGAGACAGTATGTACACTGTCAAAAGTGTGAGAAACGAGAAACGTTCCAGGGCCGTATCCAGAATTGCAATTGGGTGCGAAAGGGGGGCGGGGGGAGTGAAATAATAAATAGACTACCTGCGGTATAGCCTAGTATCCCCGTTGGCATTTTAGGGGATCCTCTATGCAAGACTTATTCGCCTGTACTATTTTCATTGTTTTAATATCCCTCCCATCGAATGATAACCTCCTAGTTATTAGAAGCCCATTCTAGACTGCCGTAAAAATGTGGACCTTTTGCGACTGGTGCCAGGTAGGGAGGGTGTAGTGCGGCACTCCCTAATGCGGGCCTGCGTACGACTACGCGATAGCTGGAATTTCCTTTGAATGCTTTTCCAACGCCACCAGCTTTCCATCAACATTTATTACTTCATTGGTTTATTATTAGAACTAAGATTTGCATTTCGATATGAATCAAAGGGAACGATGTATACCGTAAATTACTGCACTCGCTGCTGATATAATCATGACAAAAGTCGACTAATCGTCCTTTTGGGGTTCCAGTCTATCCAGTTATAAACATATTACAGTAAACAAAGTTAAAAGTAGGGCTATAAATATTTTCACCTTGGTTATACTAAATAAAACTGCTAAAACAACGATGATGACTGAAAACGGACCATTGACCGGAGTTGACCTTAATACCGGTAACGTTTAATCATTTTTTGTTTTATAAATTTAATTATTATATAGTAGGTAGGCATATTTTCAAAAAAAAGAGACAAATTCGTAATTATTTCAGCTATTATGATGTGATTCCAGATGACTTTATTTTTAACGCTAGGTCAGATGTTGATGTAAACGACAATCGATGACAGACGCTGACCAATGAATGACCCTATCTCTAATAGAGTCACACGGTACATCTTCAATGTACATAACATCGTTGAATAGAGCATGGAGAAATTAAAACTAATTCCTCCATGAATAGAGCAACCATCTAAAGCATAGCATTAGCAATTATGTATTAGTGGATGGAGTTCACAATCGTTCCCCTGTAGGCCCCAGAAGTGAGGTGGGTCTTACAACTCAAAATATTAAACATGCTCTTTATTTCATGTAGGTCTTTCACATAATGTCATTTGCAGTCT